ACTATATATATATATATATATATATATATATATATATATATATATATATATATATATATGTAAAAGTGTAAATTCTTTTTCGCCACATATTTTTTTTGTTCATTTTTTGTGAATTTTTTTAAATCGCTTCAATCTAAATTAAAATAAAGTAACAGTATCTTTAACGAAAAAATGCGAACTGCATACATTGTTATAACAATAATGTTTATTTACAATTTTTTAAATAATCATATAAACGTGTATAAAGTATATACAAAAGTTTAAAATATAAGGTACAGAATGGTGCACAGTATATTTTGAAGAATTTTGATATTCTTCCGAGTTAAAAAAACTCTCACAATAATTTAGAATTATATTATAATTTAGAATTATATTATAAATATTATATTATTCACTTATTCAAGATACTTATATGCTAAAAAGCATATTTCAAAAATATGTATATATCAAATTATAATTTTTGTGTTATATTTTATATATAACTTAGATATTACAATACGCTCTTTATTTTCTGATGTTCTTTATTTTAATATTATATGTATAAAACTTAAATTCTTTGTCGCAATTATGATGTTTACATCGACGACGATGTTTTATCATACTATGTCATGTGATATAAGAATCATCTTCAACACTTACTTGATCATAAAATGTTCGGAAAAACATATATAATAAAATATTTTCATACCACTTGTAATTTTCTTATAATGATAGTTACATGCATATGAGATATTTAAGTTATTAAATATAGGATGTTCGTATTGATAGCTATTTTCACGAAGCAAGTAAAATAAGAAAATCAATTAGCAACGTGGAAAAATAACAATCAAATTTTTATATGATTTTTTTGAAAGTGGACTTATATAAAATATTACCACGCTCGGTAAAAATCTAAATTAAATTACAATTTTTTTTAAATTTCTATATAATTTACTTTGTGTCTTTTGATGTAAATAAAAATGATGTAATTTCAATTCATGATAATATAATATAAATTATAAGAATTATACATTTTTTTTTCATCTGTTCAAACAATAACATATCGGCATGGATTTATGTGCTGATGAAGATTCTTTAATATTGTACTCTAAAACTTAAACTTTATTAACTGTTTATATATAAGGCACATTTCTACAAAAAAATCTTGATTTATATGTAAATTATTGTGCATTTTTCTAATTTTTTTCATATTTTCAATTTAAACATCTATATATATTGCGAAAGCACTAAATAAGTTATTAACCATCATATCAATTGCTTCAAAAACTGCAGTGATAATCTTTTGCAAAACCTTGTTGCTGGAAACACTTTGTGTACAATAACACATGCTCAAGCCCCATTGTTTTAAGTTCGCTTTACAATATTGCCAAACAAAGGCAAATGTCTTGAGTAAGAAATCTTTCATATTTCTGGAACGTTTCATTAATCTTTCAACGATTTTGAACAACTTCTTTAAACAATCTTCATTAAAATTCATAGAACTCATTTCCCTTAGCAGTGGTTCAAAATCAGACACTGTTGGTAATTTCGTTGGACAGTCATTACTTAAATAAAATTTTGATAACAACTCACAAAGTATTCTTTCTAATTGATCAATATTAGAATCATTAGCATAATTTTGTGAGCCAGATGAACTATTTTGATCGATTTCGATAAATATGCCCAGTTTCACAAGACGGAGAACAAATTCAACAGGATCTAACAATACGATACCATTAACTTCTAATTTACCATGTTCGAATGACCATACAATATTACGTGATGTATCATTTAGTATCTGCTTACTGCTGGTATTAGTTACAGACTGACTAGGCACTAATTCTTGACGATTTCTTATGTAGCGTATCACTTCCGCATTTTCAGATATCTTACATTCATTATTTTCAGCAGCCCGTCGCACGATTCGATTATACTTTTTACGGAGACGCTTGCTGCCAAGATTCTCCTTGTAATCAGTCATGATTTTACCTTGGGTACTTTCGATGATATCACTAGCGAATTGGATTTTCACTACAGAGCCGCAGAAAAACATGATATGCGTCGCCAAATTTAACGCATCCCCAATACTGACAGTTTTCTCTGTCTGATACTTGTCATACATACAATAACTTTGATATATAATGCCAATGCCATTCAAAAGCAAATTGCCACCTTGCACAGTATTGAATGTTATTCTTGCGATGGAGTTTATTGTTATACCGCGTGCAACGGCGTGAGAAATAATTACTGATCCCCCAATTGCTCCTAATCCAAACGCAGTGCCGGCTATGCCGAGATAATGTCCGAATGCTTCTTTATCCAAAAGATGAATTGATTCTTCATGTTGACTGCGTTTTACTAATTGTTGAGTACTTCGGGCGGCTGCCCAAAGACCACTTACCCCAGCAGCAGCAAGACCTAACATGATATAATAAATATGATATAATAAAATTTTTAAAATAAATGTTACATATCTTATAATTTCCTAAGATGTTATTTGTATAAATGTTGATATAAATAAATATAATAAATTATAATTGATGCAATATTTGACATAAATTGATTTTGCATCTATTATATATTGGAGATAATTTACCTGTCACAGCAACAACTGGTGCAAGAGGTGTAAACAATGCTGCAACACTTAAGCCAGCTGTTCCAAGTCCTACAATACTGGAAGCAATGTCTATTCCATTGCAGATTTTTGTTGCCAATGAACATGCAGGAGAATCTATAATATCCAGCCAAACTGTCGAATAATCTTCTGTAACTGGATAGTCTGGATTTGCTTGATAAAAACCATCTTTTGGGAGAACCATAGTGCACTTTGGTAAATTATTATTTTCTATATAGTCTGTCCAACTTTTATATACTCTGCCACCGAGATCAATATACCATGTCTCATATTGTATTTCAGTAGTCGATGTATTTTCTTGCTTAACGCTCTTCGGATTTTTTGTGTCGGATTTTTTCTGAATACTTTTTCTGATTACAAAAATAGGGATGGGAGAAACGATAAGCAATTCATCTTTCTTTACTTCCTCTTTTACATCTTCTTCTGTTTTTTTCTTTACTTCCTTCTTTATTTCTTTTTTCTTAGATGTTTCTGTTTTCGTAGATGTATTTGTTTTAAGACGGAATATCATATTATAAATTATACCAAAATAAATTGGTTCAGAATTATCAATTTCTACTGTACAACTACATATCTTATTATATATTTTATCTATAAGATTTTTAGCATCTTCATTATAATCAACTGTATCAGTTGCATCCGTATCGGTTGTATCTATATCATTTGGATTTTCTGTTTTGTAAAAACAATCGCTATTTTGTGTTGTATCTGCATTCTCAGTCTCTTTCGGTGGCCCATAAATTGCATATCCAATATTCTGTTTTAGATATTTATGTTCATCACATTTATATATTGTACAATCAGGAAGAAGCTCATACAAGCATTGTTGCTGTTCTACAGCAAGAGTCTTCATTTCTTCCTGAAAAATAAATACATCATTAATAATATATTCAGACATTTTCCTAAGCCTATCAAAATCATTTTAAAAAAATACTTTTAAAAATAATAGTTAATTTTTCATTAATTAAATTTAAATTTTAGATTATAATAGAAACATGAAGAAAAATATGAAGATAATTAATATTAGGAAAATTCACATAACATAAGAATTTATCAGTAGTATCTCAAGATGTATGCATTAAAGGAAAACATACCCAAAGTAAATCTGTAATCTCTTCTTCTCCTGTAGCCATTATGTCCGCAGAATCTTTAAAAGTTATAGACAATACAGATCCTTTTCCTATTAATAAAATAAATTGCATTAATAAATATTTTTAATATATGATATTTATCTATATTTTTATTTTTTTATTTTTAAAGTGATACTCATTAATTTATTAATTTAATTTCAAATTATATTGCAAAATTATTCATTGGTCATCAAAAGTTACAATATCTGTTATATTGCATTGTACGTTTTACCTATATATAATTTTTTTCTCATTTTTTTCAATAAAATAACAGTTATTATTGTAATTAACATCAAACGAGATTGCAAAATTATTTATCTTGAATATCATTCAATAATTATTACTAAAACTTACCTATCTAAAAATCTATGTGATATTCATCATACTATGTGTGTGTGTGTATATATATATATATATATATATATATATATATATATATATATATATATGTTGTT